GGTCTGAGACTGAGAGCAGGGCTGCAGGACAGGCTGGGTTTGTTTTGTTTTATTTTTTTCCTTTGCCACATCTACCTGTCAAGCTAGAAATTCAAAAGAGGGATGGGAATGCTAATTGATATGCAAATCAGGTCCAGAGTTCCTAGAAATGTCTAATGATCCACCAATTCATCACCAATGCAGAATTAAGACATGTTCGGAAGGAGACAGGGGTGAGAGCGCGACCTCTTCGCTTTTCCTTGTTCCTCCCCCTTCTCTCATTTTCCAAGCTACTTTGGGAAACTTTGCTGGTCTTATGATTAAAAAAAAAAAGAGTATTGCAATCAGTGGGGTTCGTCTTTCACACACGGTATATTTATTATTAGAAAATAGCTTTTCTCAGCTGCCAGTACTAAACAAGGTGACAGGAGCGTGCTTCTCGCCATAAGTCTCCCCTCCCTCTTTAATGGTATTGAAGTAAACAGCTCACTGAGTGGAGAGTTGCTGCGACTTTTTTTCCCTTTAAAAACGGAATAATTAAATGAGGTTGAGTACAAACCATCCGTCCGATCGTGACTTGTTCTGAAGTCAGTGTGCTGTCTCCTTGACAGAGACAAGAGAGAGAGAGAGAGAGAGAGAAGAAAGACCACACAAGCAATCAAACTGCCCCCCAAGAATATACAGAAGAAACCAGGAAACAGATGAGCTAGCCAAAACTGAAACCCATCCAAACCAAGAAACCGGTGTTTATGGTTTGTTTTTTTTGATTTTTGATGATCGTCTAAGTTAATATACATATATATCTTGAAATAGTAATAAAAAAGGAAGAATTGTATCCTTAGTAGGACCACCTTCCTCATATGTTCAAGAGGTGTTGAGAAAATTCCATACAGTATCTGCTAAATAAACATGTTTGGCAGCTTAGCAAATCTCATATGACTGCAGCATCCACGATTTGAAGGGAAACAGCATTTGCTTTCTTCTGGCCAAGTTCGCTGTCGGGGCAATGGACCAACTCGAGGCTCTGGCTGTTCTCAGACCCACAGGCGGAAGGAAGGGTTTAGGGGTGGCTCAGTGCATGGCCCCAGTGCAGAAACTTCCAGACCCCAAACAACTAATCACCCACCCACCCACACGAGCATCAAACAATGGTCTCCTTTGAGTTCCTCTTGACTGAGTGGAGGCCCAGCAAGGACTGCTGGTTAGAAGGTACGCTGACAGACTTTGGGATGAGGAGAATCACCCTCTGATTGGTCCGACGCCATTCGTTGTACAATCGACAGTGGTACCTAAATGACACCTGAGGGCAGGGCAAGGGGATGGGGATGGACGAGAAAAAACAAGAAGTGGTTTCAGTTCAGCAGAGGTTGGTCATGATTCAAGAAATAAACCAAGCCATTTACACAGTTGAGGCAGCCCAGCAGAGGGTAAGAGCCCCCAGGGGAAAACTGCTGGTGGGAGCTGAGGAGGAGCCAGAACGCTGGGCCATTGCAACCAGAGCACCCATGGGTGTTCAGGGGCGGGCTCACCTGGGGGACAGCCTTTGTTTCTCCTCACACTCAGTTTAAAACAAAAACCAAGCTACCGATAGGAAGATGAGGAGCCTTCTAAATGTGCCTGTCTTTGCAAGCTGGTAGGTTACCACGGCTGGAGCCTCAGCTGTGAAGGGGGAGGGTGGCTGGGTGTGGTCCAGCAGACACCGAGCCAGCTCTAGGCAGTGTGCCTTTCGGAGCCCACATTCTTCTCTGGAAAACAGGAGGACTCCTGAACACTCATGCAGCCTGCACACTGTGACTTAGGGGACCTCACTCACACTGGACACACACGAACATGGTAGCCCCTATGAGTCACTCCTAATTGCCTCTAGCTCCAGAATTCTCAGATTAGGTATGGGCACTGTTATGAGTTGAATTGTGTCCTGCGACAAATTCCAGGACCTGTGACTGGGACCTTATTTGGCAATAGGGTCTTTGTAGATGTCATCGAATTACGATGCGGTGAGTCTGGATTAGGATGGGCCCTAATCCAATGACTGGTGTCCTTAGAAGACCATGTGAGAAGAACGCCATGCGGAGATGGAGGCAGAGACTAGTTACGGAGGCAAGGCCAGGACCCTCCTCCGCAGTCCTTGGTGGGAACAGAGCCTGGCTGACCCGGGGATCTTGGACTTCTAACTTCCAGACTGTCGGATTTTAAGATGCCCAGTTTGTGGTACTTTGCTACAGCAGACCTGGGACTATAAGTGGCACCAGCTCCCCCGACAAGCTTCTTGAGTGCCAGTCTGGGAGAGGCACTGCCTCCCGGACTGCTCTCAGCATGGCCGTGGGCACACGGGCCAGCGCACTTGTTCTCTGCCTCCATCCTTGTGTGCCTGGCACTCAGCATGTCGTTCAGCAGAGTAGGGTGAATGAGACCACCTACTACCCTTTCAAGATGCCACACCACTTTAAACTCAAGCCCCTCTTACAGAACACACAGTCGTACGGCAGGACACCCCTAGCCCCCTGGCTCTAACTCCGCCCTAAAAGCATCTGCTTCTTGTGTAACTGTACTGGATGCAGAAAGTTCTGTCTGTGGTTGCTTTTAGAGAAGGCTGACTCACACTGGTTCTGATGGATTTGTCCAGGCAATGAGAGCCTATGCGTTTGAAGCCTTTAAACACAGGAGGAAGTTTCATTTTGTGCATCCAGATGACTATGTAAGTGCTCGGGCTGACATAGTACCCCGATTCTGGGCTGCTTTTTCACTGAGGTGGGGGTGGGGGGGAGGCTGTATCACACCGATAGTTCTGAGCTCAGCGCTCCGAGAAGTAGAGGCGATCAGAAGGCTTTGTTAACCACATGGCAAGATCAGGAAATTCAAGGCCACTCACTCCAATTTCTAAAGCTAGAAATCAGATAAGGCAGATGCCAGAACCTGAGTGCCAGTGAGATCTGGGTTTGAAAACCTAAGTTTTTAAACTCACACAGATGTGCCTTTTTTTCCTAAAAGGCCTCAAACATGCCAAAGTAGAATTTAATTTTTTTTAAATTGATTCTTTCATATGTATTCTGCCCTGCTCATAGATGTAAGCAGGGTAAAGTGGATAGACAACTGTTCAGAGCCCAGCACAAGGAAAAAGGGGCAGAACACAGACAAGTGCTGAAGGAGGGAGTTGGAAATTCAAGGTATCTGGGGCCTGGCAATGTTATAGGAAAGCTGACTTTCAAAGCAAGAGTCCCCATGTCCTATTTGGGCTTGCACTTAGTTCTTAAGGCATGGCCCTTCTCCATGCTCTCCCTCAATGACAGAACACTGAAGCTATGGGTGCAATGGCAAAGAGTGATGAAGAAACCAGATGGTACCCACCTATCAGAAAGAATCTCATCTGGCATCTTAAAATCTCATCTGGCATCTTAAAGGCTTGTCTTAAAACAAGTGGCCATTTAAGTGAGGTGTCAAGTAAGTCCACATGTACACCAGGCCGGTGTGATCTAAAGATTATAAATACTAAAATCCAAATCCAAAGGAGGAAATGGTATTAGAGCTTAAAATACTTGGTTTGCAGAAGGCTATGGATGACAGGGGAAGCCCAGAAACCATATGCAGGGGAAGCCCAGAATCCACCTGGATTAAGATTTCAGTGAATCCCCTCTGATTACAGTTCAGTCGTTTATGGATAAAGCAGTTAGGTTAAAATGCAACATCTTATTATCTGATTTCCCTTTGGACCTATTTTAAAGTTGTTTCAGTTTTTAATATTTTCTGTTGAGATTTTCCTCTGTTTTGTCATTGTTGTTATTTCTTGTATGTGTTTTAGACAGGTCGATCTACAGAGATAGCAACTGGATTAATAATTACTTAGGACCA